GTTGATATTGATTCCTGGCTTTGGGGGATGATGGGATACATGCCGCCATTTGGAAGAAAGATGGAGGCATATGGAAACTACTCATGAATACTTATCTAAATACAAGATACAGGGTAAGAAAGGTCACTTCATGGTATTGCTTAGTGTTACGTGAACAGCCCCAGTGTCAACAGTACCGAGTCAGACAGTTTGGTGATGTCACACAGCATGGCAGCTTTCTATGATCCCCATTGCTGTTAATCTATTAACTCTTTCTTGGAAGGAGATCAAGTTTAGTATTTAAACTATTTTAAGACTGTCTTATCCTTCTGATACTTTGTATCTCCAACCTTCTATGCTGAGAGAAGCAGCCAGATGTTGGTAGAAGTGGGAACTGCCATCAATCTGTTAGAGAGGAGAATTATACTCAGAAGTGCATCTAATTAATTATAACCAGAACACAAGGAGTTTCATTATATCGCAGCACCAGAAACTGCCTTAGAAAACTGTTCCAAAATTATGCTTTTTCCTGTTAAAGGGCACTCAGGTCCATCGGAAACAACTTGCATTGAATATTGCATTTAACACAATTCTGGCACACATACAAAGAGATACATCTTCTGGTTAAAATCAATTCCGGGAATAGCAATAGCTTCTGCTTGCCTGGTTAGAAAACTGCTGCTTCAAAAAAATTTACATTTTAATCTAATTCTTGGTTGCTCTTCATTAGAAAGCTAAAAATTTTATGTGGAATCTCATTTTGTGTGACTCAGTAGTTTTGAGTTTTTGCAAATATCTTTCAGTATTATAATGAAATCAATAGTGAGAGAAACCTTGTCTGAATTTGGATAACTTCTCATTAAACAGCTGGGCAGAAGTAGAGTTGAGATGAAATTATGTATCAGTTAGCAAGGAATATTTGTAGTCAAATGCTTCCTGGAAATTTCTTCTCACTACAAATATACTACACTCTGGCTTTCTAACTTTATCTGTCAACCAATAGGTACAACCAATGTAATAAAAAGTAGAGCATTCCTGCATATCTGTGCTAAGACAGTTTTCTACCTCTCTGCTCAGAAATGCAGCTAAATTTTGCATACTGAATCTGTTCCTGCCAGGCCTAAGAATGATTAGTATTCCACTGGCAGCTGCCTATAGGTAGTAATATTGTTTTGTCCATAACCAGAGGGAACAATCATTCTCTGACTATAAACCAGCCAAAGTAATTGGGTTTAATTTCAATTTTTGTAATAGCTTTAAATTAATAGAAGCAGCTGCTGCCACACTGTGTGGGTGTCCTTTTCTAGCAGACACAGAACAAAAAGAGGGGAAAAGTAAACAGTAGTGTATCTAGGACACAGAGGTTAATGCAAGAACTAAGCAATGTCTTTTTCTTATCAAAAACTTGGTTGGCCATATCTAGTGCCTTGTCTCCTTTGTTTCTCTGTCTCTCCCTTCCCCCCTTTTTAATTCCCAGATAAGATCTAAATCTGATTAGGCTTCTGTATGTAAAGATGTCTTGTTGGTATTGAAACATTGACTCGCCTTTCTCCATTTGACTTGGGAACAGATTAGCACTGACAAAGTGTTAAGAGCGATAAGAATAGATTAACAGCCCCATGAGTCCCATTACAATTATATTGAGGGTGTGTGTGCATGCAAAGGAAATCTATGTTTTGAAATAGCAGTTTAGGTCTTTTCTAGGAGTTAGGATTTATATCCCTCAAAGCAAGGATAGGTGCTCTTCCTGTGGAAGGCTTGGGAACTGGGAGAGGGGGGCAATATTGCTTGGATCAAAGTTACCAAAATTAGGGAATTTCTTCAATAGTGGGCTGGAAAGTTACTGAAGTTTAAACATTTGATTTTGGGAGAAAGTGAAACTGACAGAATCATCCATCCAGGAAGGGGTTTTTTAGTGCTGAGTTCTTAAAAGTCTGCGTTTGATCCCAGTGCATATAATTAGGATTGACCCTATTCTTTAAAAGCTGTATGGCAGATATCAAGCCCCTTTCTATGCTGGAATAGCTGTCTCCATGAAATTTGGCTGACACAAATGAGTGAGGATTTTCTGTTTGTTTTTGATAAGAAGCAAAATTTTCAAATTTACCAAAATGCACAGATTTTTTCATATATGTAATGGAAAGAATGATTGCAAGGAAGGAAGGAAGGAAGGAAGGAAGGAAGGAAGGAAGGAAGGGATGCAAGAGAAAGAGAAATGGATGCTGTATCCTAGCACAATGGAAGTTGTTGGTTGAGTGGATTCCTCCACCCTTCTGCAGCATCTGCATTGCTATACATAGTTAAATCTCCACCAAAGGGGTTGGAAAAGGCTCTGGGGCAGATTTGTGTGGAGTGTGCCTGTGTCCAGAGGTTGGAAGGAAGGAATGATGTTGCAAACAAGCAGTTGTCCACTGATGTGTCACTAATGGAACCCTATAGCCAAACACATCCATTTATTAAAACATGAAAAGAAAAAAGCAGATTTAATTGAAGGAATTCACAAACACTTAAGATATAAGTTACAATTGCTGTGCAGGACTGAATGAATATCAAACAATGTCAGTTAGCATTTCCTAGTAAATTTCACAAAGCTTTTCCTTGCACCTTCATTCTTATTTTGATGAATGTCCTTGGTTCATTTTCCATTCTCTCCTTTTGCCAATTCAGAAAGCAGGTTCTGCAGTTTGGCAACACACTGTTAAAACATGTGTGTTTTGGTCTGGAAGCTACCAAACATTTACCCAATATCATAATTTGATGGATTCAATAGTCAGTGAGAGAGATCTAATAGCACACCAGACCAAAGCTGGAAGATCAAAATATATGAAGGTATTTCAGGAACCTATTAGCTTTCACTGCTTTAGGATGACAACTGGTTGTAATTCCTGTACGAGGGGCTGTATACCTCACAATATCTGTTTCTGGAGAACACAAGCAGGAGGTTACTCTTGCTCATGTCCTGTTGTGGGCTGACTGGTCACTGTGCAAACGCAATGCAGGGCTTTGGTCTAATATGGCACATCTCTTCTTACGTACCTAATTCCCACTTACCCCTTCAAAGTGGAGGAATGTGCTTATTTATTCTTTTTTCTTAAGGCTTTAAAAAATATTTGTAGCTTGGTAACTTCAGCACTACATAAATAAATCAAGGAGTGCCTCCTTCCATTGGGGTTCAAAAGCCAGAGCAATAAGAAGGATGAATACTTTTTATTTCATCTCTAATTAACTGCACCACAGGCTCTTTATTATGTTTTGTCAGGAAGATTTTATTTTTGCTTTGCACACTCCTTAACTGCTGCTAATTGGAAAACATGTCATTTTCCATAATGAGAAGTTTGTTTCTTCCATTTCATATTACCAGTGAAAGGCCAAAACTGATCCTCTGCAGTTGCCTGGTTTCTCAGAACGATTACAGGAGCACACGTGATTTACAGATATAGCAGTAGTAATGGAATCATGTTATGTTTTCCTCACCATCGTTGCCTGACAGTAGCTAACTTCTTCTACAAGCATTAGGTGGGACCTGTTTATTATATTGTTTAATTGAATAAGATCCTGTCTGCAGGATAATAGCATGGGCCTTTTCCCCCAAACAGAGTTGGAGAATTTGTTGTATTTGATTAACAGACTCTTGTGGAGTCTGTCCAGATAAAGGTAGAAAGGTTCTACTCACAGCCATCTTAAAGAATAAATACTTTATTTACCCTGGCCTGATTGCTACAGAATGATACTGGATTTGGTCACGAACACAAAGATTCTATACAGACCAAGGTTATCTCATTCAGTTATATTTTTGAATGGTGTGACATTGGCTGGACTCCTGTTGTGTTTTTTCCTATTATGTTCAGAACTCACACACCCATTGCCCCATCTTATTTCTCTCCTGTCTTATTTCTTAAGTCATTTGACTTTATTTTCTTTTTAAATTGATCTGAATATTAAGGATTCTGGTTTTTAAAAGGAAAAAAAGTCAGAATTAGTGAAAAGGGTAGCAGAAGAGGAAGGAGGTTAAAATAAAGAAGTGGGAACAATTTTCAAAGAACTAAAGAGATCCCAATCCAGATTGTAGGAACTGTGTACATTTAAGCTTATAAAGTGGGGCAGAATTACACCTGCAGCCTTATTTAAATGTCCTTCATGTAGTCAACGAAGTCAATCTCAGAGAGACTTCCTATCCTCTATATATGTGAAACAAAAATCTACGTTTCTGAGACACAATGTAAGTTAAATGTGTTTTGATGATTTGCCATTTGGTAACTGGCTGGACCAAAAACTTGCTTATTGGAGCCTTTCCTTTTGAGGAAAGCAGATTTTGGATCCAAAGTCTGCTTTTCATGAGAGGAAGGGCTCCTATGCCACACCATACCCTATTCTTCAGGCATTCCTGACTCTCTCTGTAGCATCTTCAAGGGGCTGAAGTGTCTGCCATGGATGTGGAATTCACATCTGCCAGCACAGTTGATCAAGTATAAATCTGGTTCCAACCCAGTGCCTGGAGTAAATGTTTCTAAATTATCTGGGGGCCTGTGGTCATTTCTAGACATAACTGCCTTGTGCATATTTTAAGCAAGCACTTCATTGACATTCATTTTCACTGTGATGCATTGTGGACACGTAGAGAATTCCTTGCTTTTTGCAGCCCTGCAAACACTAGCTAAATTTTATTAATCAAGTTCTTTGCATGCTGACAGGAGAAAGGAGCTTGATCCCTCAACCTTTATCAAGCTCCTATGATTAAAGAGAAACAGTTCTTGTAACTGTTTTTCACATGACAGAATCCTTTGTTGATTTTCTTTCATAATTTCTGTGCCATTTGCTAATATCCTTAATGAAACAGAGCAGCAAAATAAAATAAAATCTTTCTTGCCCTGACTGAGTTTTATATATTTACCTACCAGCTATGTACCTGCCAGATGATTGAACTTGTGTTGTTTCCATGTGACTTCATTGCTACATTTAATTTAATTTCATATTTTTGGTACAGAGTATAATTGATTTGTTTGTCTTATTTTATATTTTAGGCAAAGGCTGCCACCCAAAAATGTGTATTATTACCGTTGCCCTGATCACAGGAAGAACTATGTAATGTCATTTGCTTTCTGCTTCGACCGAGAAGATGACATATACCAGTTTGCTTATTGCTACCCATATACATACACTCGACTTCAGCACTACCTTGATAATTTGCAGAAGAAGAACATGGATTACTGCTGCAGAGAGCTTCTAGGACTTAGTGTGGTAAGTGACATGCATATTTCCCACTGATGATGTTTCTTTATGGATGTCTGGCCTAACTGGTGATGCATTAGTAGTATGAATCATTTCAGCTAATGGACCCATGCCCTTGTTTATTTTGTTCTTCTCAGAGACACGAGATAGCATAGCTGCACAATGAAATATAAATAAATGAAGGCTTATATTCACATAAAGCAGCTTGATTGTGACATGGAGCTCAAGATGAAAATTGCCACATAGCATGAATTGGCTTCCATAGATACTGAATAAAAATCTGTAAGAACTTTGTGGCATTGACTTTAAAGATAGCTTTTCTCTCTCTTTACAGGGATTTGGTTCAAAAGTCAATGTGTTTCTTCACGTTGACCTGTTACCTTGCATGAGCCTATGCAAAGCATAAATACAGTGGCTTTTCCATTTGTGCTACTGTGGCATGACATATAGCTGTTAATCAAAGCCATTTAGGCTTGTCTCTGCTCAGCGTTGTAGGGGTAGATAACAAGAAACATGGCTTCACCATTGTGCAGTAGGAGCAAGGCAAGGCTGGCTTAGGACCACATTCTGAAAGCATGTCTCAAGAGTTCTGTGCACATGCACTCAAAGGAAGGGGGCCAACTGGAAGAAATGTCAACTTCATCCATAAGTTCTCCTGTCCTGTTTTTCCCTTTTCTATGATAAGATGGTACCTTTCTGACCAAGAATTAATACAGAAATTGCGTCAAAACCTTTCACATTGGCTTTACAACTGGTAGGTCGATGTTCGACATAATCCTAAACTTCTGTCCAGTATGTTATAGGGTTCCAAGGATAAATTTTAGAGTTCATGTTGCTTAATTGTCAGACTATCTCACTCATTAACAAAAATGGGTGAATAAAAGACAATACTTTGAAGTTGTCAAAGAGAACCTTAAACAAGGAGGAATTTAAAAAGCAAAATACTGTTGTAACAAGTTATTTCATGAATTCCATGCCTCTCTATCTTCTATCTGAGACTCAGAAATACTCTGCCATAGAAAAGACATTAATTAAAATAGAGATGGAAATTATTTTGGTAAGGAAAACTTTATCAAGGGAAGATGAAAGAATAAAAATATTTTGATATTGATATGAGTTCAGTATTTAGCTCAGAGGGCTCAGCTATCTATAACTTTTCTAAGTTCATTCCCGCTTCCCATTCTTTTGAAGACAGAAGACAAACTGGATAAAATGATTTTCTATCCCTTTTTATATAGATAAATGCACTGTACTTTTTCCTGGAACTAAAAGCGGTAATATTTCTGAAAATGAAAAATAATTGTGCAAAATACGGCTTTGGAGTTTCCTAAGTTATAATTCCAAACATTTGCTAGGATTAGTATAGTACTTAGGCTCACCCAACATGCCCGTGCTTCTTTAGGGATATTTGTTACTTTTGTTCTTTGTGAAGTTCTTTCTAGTCTTAATATCACAAAGTAATTTTGAATCTTGCATCTTCACTGTTTCCTGTGCAGCACTTGGGACTCTGAGAAGCAAGTTTTGTAGACTCACAGAATTAATTTCATGGTTCTTCAAGCACTGGCTGATCCCCCCGCCCCCCCCGGTATCATGCATATTGTATTGTGATACTGAGCATCTGTAACAAAAGTACATGGAGGATTTTCTGTTCCTGGTCACACTAAAACAAACAAACAAACAAACAAACAACCAGAAACTGTTGTATTGAATATCTTTTTTAAAAAATCAAATAATGTAGCAATCATAGAATCTTCCAGGCTTTTTTCCACATGACATTTTCCTAGATTACCTTGAAACGTTGATTAAATATTTCACAGTGTTTTGTTGCTCTTCTCAGTTTTATGGGCTTGAGGGAAAGGATACCCCCGCATCTTACATCCACACCCCTGTTTGGCTATTTTGAACAATTGAAAGGACTAGTTCTTCAGAAAATTAATTGACATCTGAGATAGCTTTTGAATGTTGATGATTTCTGCTCCATAATAGATTAAACTTGCAACATATACAGTAGTCAGGCTAAGGTCCAGAAATTGGTGATTCGCTAACATGCAATTGTAATTACATTGCTCAAGTACACAGTAGTTGTAGAGCCAAATGACACAGAGTCATATTGTTAGCATAAAGATGAAGAAATATCTTTTTAATTAATATTTTTCTTATTTTTCTTTTCTTAAACATTATTAATTCAATTATTATTCTTCAGAGAATTTTTGAGCATTACAAATGCGCCAGATTTACTTGAAAATGAGCTATCCTGAAAGCTTGGTAGGTAATCATTGGTATCATTTTAATGGCATACTGATTTTGCTTACCTTGGCTTTAAAAAATGCTCAATAGTACTTCAGCAGTTTACAAAACCTACACTTAATCTTTCTTCAAATAATTGTATGCAGTTAATAATTAAATGAAAAAAACCATATCCATTAGTAAGCAGAGTATGAAAACTAAGGTAGCTGAATTTAGTTGTTTGCCACCCTAAATAAATTCACAGACTTAGTCATGCTTAAACTATACCATTGAAATCAAAGTTGGTTAAGTCTGCCAGACAGTGGGTTTACTTCTAAGTATGACTAAGTCTGGATCCAATCAATATATATTTTATGGGAACATAGACATGTATACAGTATGTGGTTCCAGTCCACAGATCCTCATATGCAAAAAAAACGTTGCACAAAACATGCTGTGCATGAATGTTTCTGCAGTTAGTCGGCTGGTACTTCAGCTTTACCTGTCTGATCACCTGCTGGGTTTGGTTTCAGCATTAGTGGAAATTCTGTATGAATGTTAATAATATACCAAATTATCATCTTATGGCAATCAAAACTCTTGTCAATTGACTAAGGAAATGCAGTGATTGAATTGAAGCATGGTTATTCTTGACTTGGGGTCTATTTAATTACAGAAAATTGCAGTGTTAATGTTGCCAGCTAAGTTGCAATATGGGAATAGCCAAACAAAGCAGGACAGAACAGTTGTAAATGTGGCTGAACACCTTCTGTGAGCCCACACTTAGCAGGGGCCCAGCAATAAGTGCTCCCTAGACAGACTCTTTCTTTTCACCATTGCAAGATGCTTGGTTATCTTTCTTTTTAGTCAAGCAGTATATACCTACTTCCTCACTGGCACCCTGCTTGTCAAGCAAGCAAGTGGTAATAATGAAAAAGAGGATGAGGAGTTGCAGATGGAGAAGATGGTTGTAAAAAGGTAGAGTGACTAAGAGAAAGGGCCCATTGAGGATGCCTTCTCCAATGACCCTCAAAAGCCTGAAATCAAAACTAGTAGCAAAAGTACAAAAAGTAGTTCTTGACAAAACTACCAAAGCATCACATGTTTTTTTGAATTCTTCTGCTTTAAACTTTTGAGGGTTTCCTCTTGTTAATAAGGTAGCTTTAGCTATGCTAACAATTTTCTAGCAGTAAAAACAGAGGTGTCTGGAAGCCATCTGCAAGAGCTGTGGATAGTCTCATCCCTTGAAGAAATTCTAACTACCCTTAATCTGGTGTAAAACAGGAGTCTGACATGAGATGACCTTTGAAATTCTTATACCCAGATGTTCCTTGATTGTGATATATCTGTGACAAATTTTAAGAATCTGGGCTGTTTTCAGAGGTATACACCACATCTCAATAATCCAGTCAGGAAGTTACCAGAACATGAATGACTGTGTCCAGGGTCTAGATAAGATCAAAGCTGGTATATTAGCCAAGCCCAGCTGATTAAAAAAATTCTCCAAGCCATCAACTCCACCTGTGATTCCAGTGACAATCCAGACTATGCACCTGATCCTTCAGATGATCCTTCCTAGGCTTTTGCACTTCTGCTCCCACTATGTTTTTTAATAGAGTAGTTGCTTTGTATTTTCCTGCTAATATTTACACATATTTTCTGTAGCCATGAAAACTGGACTTTTATTTTATGTGCACGAAGAAGGTCTAGTGTAATCCCTTGAAATACTACTCAGGAATGTTATGGTTAATGAAAGATATAACAAAACTGCAATAACTGTCTTGCACTATTTTCTGATGGTTGTATTATGCCAAGCTACCACAGAATTAAAACTTCATAGCGACCCATCTTTTTCCCACCAGGCTCTGTTGCACAGATACCCACATGAAGAAAATGTATAGTATTGCTGATATTACAAGAAGCATGTGGGGTAGGGGGTGGATGACTGCTAATTTCAGTTCTATATAACATCAAAATAGTGTATATAAATAAATAATACTGGAATGTTGTGTTCACAAAAGCTTAGATTATTTTATATATGAGAATCCCTCCTGTAGGGACTTTTCTGTTTACTTTACTATGGTATCCAATACAGCAGTTACTCTGACTACAATTTACTCTGCATTTATTTTAATTTAAACATATTTTTCTGTGGAACAAAAAGTTCCACTGCGGAACAAAAAGTCATGACTTGAGATCTAAGTTCATAAACTTCAACCCGGTATGTTTAAGAAAAGTTTTTCTGTGGTTCTCTGCCCTCCACATTCCAGTCATTTACATTTTGAATGCCTTGAAAAAATGCATACAACTGGTTCAAGTTTCAGACTCAAGAAAGTTTGATCTTAATGGCTCTGTAGGGATGATAAAGCAGAAGCAACTGCAAATTGTTATGGCCCATTTTATGGCAGGAAAACCTGCTGGAGGGAATAATGATCAATGGACTGTGTGTTATGTTGTTTACTGTCAATCTATACAAGCCTACTTTGTATAAGCCTATTAAAACAACCGGCTGTGATGCCATTTCTACATTACTTTTAAGATTGTTAACTACATCTTTCTGTCATTTCCCATTTGCCTGACTGTACCAAACAAATCATATAAGATTGGTAAGGAAAAGAATGAGCAACTGAAACCATTGCAGTACCCTAGAAAGTCTCTTTTTGGATTTTACACAATTATACAAGAATTGTTTTGCTGACAATAATTATTTTCTTGGCTTTCAGAATTTCTAGATCATCCTTTCAGAAACAAGTGTAATTGAAAAATTCTGTAAATTCTAGCAA